CGGCTTTCATTTGAATTTTCACCGCCACCTCCCCACTCGGCCACCTATACTTGTCGGGTCGTGGCGGTGCCCCTCCATGCTTTATATTGTTCGGTCTTCCGATGGCATCGATTTCATTTTGGATCTATAGATTTTCGATGCCTCGATTTTTGATTTCATCGGATTTCGTTCTCTTTAGGGGAGGGGGGGGATCATGTTGGTACAGCAGTGTTGCCAATAAAATGCTGCTTTAGGATTATCATACGATTATTTATTCTAGTAAATTTTTGCCAAATTTCAAAATTCGTAATTATAATAGCGAAAAACTCTTTTTTAACCTCTATCAAGAATATAAAACTTCTCAAATAAAATTAATATTCGATCTACTTCATCTATTTCCTATCCGAATATATCGAAATATTCTATAATTTTTTGTTTTCGTATTTTCATACCACTCCAAAATATCGTTATTAGTCGACATCATTTTAAATATACTTACATAGTTCTTCGAAATAGTTAATTCTTCGAAATAATCTCATCTAATAATAAATCTTCTCTTAAAAATTAGTATATCTATCATAAGCTATAGATAAAATCTTCAAATTAAATCAAATATATTATAATCGTCGAATATATTACTTACCAATAAATTTCGTATATATAATTTCCATCAAATTATTGTCTCATTATAAATATATAAAGAAAAATGAAATTATCATAGATAAATATTTAGAGATAAATAAAAATTAGATCGATAATTATTTTCTTCGAGAATTTATGTTCAGTCATAATCGACATTCATTCAATATCTTCAGATATATAATAGAAGCCGAATCGATAATTTTCAATATTCCAAAAATTTCATAATCCGAAAAGATCCTAAAATTTCAAGAATACGTATAATATTTTAAGAATATTAAATATAATCATGCCATCCCTAACAACCAAAAAGCCCAGACCTAGTAACTATTCGGGCGCAATCTCCATAAATGCACATGTAAAAGTTAAAATAAGGCCTAGTTAGCCAGCATCTGTGAAAAGAAGTATTTCCCAATCCAAATTAGCAGCCCATGTATATATACATACATACATACACGCTTATTTATGAGAATAAAATAAATGCCCTAAACCCAAAACCTCAAAACCCGCAATCTCACAAGAATCGTCTTGAACAAACCAGTAACAAGCAAAATATGAAAAATCTCGCAATAACTCGCAAAATTAAATCTGGCTTTCTTGTCCTTAGGTTCTCAGTATGTTCAAGACGGTTACGGTATCTCTCGGTGTCGACTCCCGTTCATTTATCATCAAGACGACCGCAACCATCACGAGGACACCATCATGAGACTTCCGGTGAGACCGTCAGACGAACACTTTAGGGTTTAGGGTTTAGGACCGCCAAGAAACCTTCAGGAAACGACAACAAAGACTCAGGAAACCAGGGAGAACGCAGGACACACCGGCCAACCTACTTTCTCCAAGTAAGACCAAACAAAGCACTGCCCTGAGATATTAGCGGGACTGAAGTGCCGACCAAATTCTTTTGCACAAAACGTCGGCCGAGAGACACTGAGCCAGTGGCAGAGGCTGACTCCAAGAAGGGAGGCAAGTCGGCGTCTCTCAAGACCTTGGGATTTATATGTGGCCTCTGCAGCCGCTTCTAGTTGAGGATGCAACGCCTAAACTTGAAACTTGAAGCCCTACTGTGGGTAGGAGCTGCTGCCAATGAGGCACCACGGTTTAGGGTTTAGGGTTTAGGGCACCCCCTTCTATTCATGTTTGCAGCGGAGGATCTACTAATTAGTGTCTGGCCTGGGTTGGCCAAGTCTGGAAACGAGCAATGGAGGGTGTTGGGGGTGCCCCGAATACTAGGAAGATTCACCAACATGACGTTTGGGCTTCACACCCCACGAGTAGCGAGATTCAAGACTTAAGAAGTCCACCAACACTTTACTAAAGTAAGATTGAGAATTTTTGAAAACAAGACATGGCCCGTGGAATAGAAGTCATAATGCATTTAGTTATACTGGGGACGAGCCCGACAAAACCCCGATAAACAAATAGCAAAAGACTGCAAAAATATTCACCGACAACACAATGGAACTTATACCGGAGAACGTCGGAACTAAGATAACTAAGAACTGGCGAAATGCTTTCCGCTGCATACCGCGCCACCACTGAACACTTCTCTTTACACTATAGGCTAGGACCCCATTCACAATGCGCTGCTATGACAGGGGTCGTGATCCGTATCATGAGCGACTCTTCAAGCACTTTCGGCAGACCGGCCCCCTAAACCCTAAACCCCAAACCCTAAGGGTTTAGGGTTCTACATCCTTCGTGTTTGCTCTTCTTGCTGGACTCGCTGTCGACTCTGGGATCTTCTACTGGCTCTACTGGGAAATAGTTTTCCCTAAACCCTAAACCCCTAAACCCTAAACCCCTAAACCCTAAACCTTAAACCCTAAACCCTAAACCGTTAAAGTCTAAAGAGGCGTTGATACTCTGCATTGCAAGTGTCAGGTCGCTTGCCGAAACTCGGGCCCGGAACATCCGGGTGGCTGTTTATCCACTTCCCGGCGTCATCCAGATGCCATCTACTTGGAGGTTCATGGGTAGTTACAAGTAGGGTTATAAGTCCCCCAATATGGGCTATAACTACAGTTACCCTACCTACAACCCTACTTATAACTACGCGTGAACCTCCAAGTAGGACTCTACTTTTCAAGGCCATCTTCTCAGCATTTCATGCAGCGTAAACTTGGATTATACAACAGAATTCCGCCCCCGACCCGCTGCAATTAGAAACAGGCTAGCCCAGGCCAGGCTGGGGCGAATGAGCCCAACCGCACGCAAAAACATTAACATAGATGAGCGGTTTTGAACACAATCCCAAAAGATATGGATAAGACGTGATAAAACTGCCAATGGAATCACACGAGTGGCAGACACGTGCGAATACAACGATAGAACAAACACAAACACATGCACAGAGACGAAGACGGGGACGGATCGACAGACTTAGATAGTATGGGTTGAAACAAAGAGACAGAAAGAGCCCGTCGATTGGATGTACATTTTTGACTTTGCCGGACCTTTGACCAACGATATCATTAAAGTAGCGAGACCCCCAAATGCTCAGAAGTTTTGGGGTCTCATCCTACTACTATTAAGAGAGCTAGAAGCGTCCCAGTTCAGAGATATGCAAGGATGTGATAGTGGCATGCAAGATTTTCTAGGATGAACAATCGTAAGACTCCACTGAACTTGTATCTAACGTGGCATCCTGTAAAATAGGGCCCCCGCCCCTCCCCCCGGAGCATTTCCGGAAGTCTTGATTCATATGTTACCCGTGACCCCCTTGACCTTTGTTCGGTAGATTTGGGGCTTGGGTTGGCTTCTCCCGAGTGCCCTGGGTTGGGGGGGGTGGGCAACAAAGCCCAGGCCCCGGTCACTCCAAGATATCTCCAAGACTGAAAACCTTTGGTTTTTGAAGATTTTTCCCTACCCTCCCCTGGACAATCGACCAAGTCTGAGGCATGGTACTGTACAGTAGCAGTACAGTAGTACAGTGTACAGTAGTAGTACAGCAGGGTTGAGGGTTTAGGGTTAAAGGGGGGTTCAGGATTTAGGGCGAGCTCCCGGCTTCAGGGAAGCAAATTGTGGGTGCCTGAAGATTGACCATTAGCAGAAAGGAAGCAAACCAAAAACTCAGCCGGCCCCAATAAGAAACGCAAGAAAGAAAACACCCTACAGTCACTTAAACAGGCCGCCACATTAGATATATCATCGTTGCTGCAAGCATTACGATATTCACCGATATTCCATCAAACTGTCATCATGCTTCTGAAACACTGAAACTAAAACTTTTCAGTAGCATCAACAACCGAATACATCGGATATTTGTTCCCTGACGATCGGTATTCCGGCGGAAAGTACATCAAGCATGATTCTGTGTGTCTTTGTCATGAGAAGACAAGTTCTTTTCAATAAACTGGGAAGCATCTAGATAGTGAGACCCAGTCGAAAAACTCATAGACCCTGAGCCCTGCACGCCAATCCCTCAACTTCAGGGCCAAGCAACAGCTCAGCACTGCGCCGACTTCGGAAGCTGCGGGGCCCATTGCCTCGCAGCATGGCGGCCGTGGCGGACAAACGGAAATCTCAAGCTTTGCTCATGCTATGGCTGCTATGAGGGTTTATCAGGGCTTCCAAAGGTGTTCCCTAAGTTCTACGAGATTCTGAGGGGCTTCGGAACATGAACGAGGCTTTGCGGGGCTTCGGACAATGAACCAAGCAACTTTTGCCACAAGTGCCGATGCCAACGGCAAGTGCAGAGGCACTCTGGCCAGCTAACTGCACGCGATGGAAAGGCAAAGCAGGCTGCCGGTGCTAAGGCAAGCTGTGGGCCAGCACTGGTACAACGCAAAACCGACATGTCCTAAAGGCAAACAAACCTCAGCAAGCTGCAGGGTGCCTCTTCCTATCATGTCAACGATGACCAACTACTCACCCCGCGCACCCTACAATGTCTTGCCGGCACTAACCTCGAACTTGTGGCATGCCCAACTGGTGCATGGCACGAGGGCCAAACATTTGCACTTGGGAGACAGTTCGGAGTGCCTCGGTAGACATCGAAATGAACACTTGCTGCCGGAGCAGCTCATTCCACGAAACCCTCAAGCATACCTAACCCCTAAACCCTAAACCCCTAGACCCTAAGCCCCTAAAAAACTCCTAAACTGAGGGTGTCCAGGCCATTTGCATATGATGCCCATCGAAATCCAGCTCCTGAAGGTCGCTATCCTGCAGGTTCGTGGTGTGCTTTCGTGTCGACCAGGTCTCCACTAACCCTAAACCCAAAAGCCTAAACCCAAAACCCTCTAAACCCTAAAACCCAAAACCCTAAGCCCTAAACCCTAACACCTAGACCCTAAACCCTCATAAACCCTAAGCCCTAAACCCTAAACCTAGACCCTAAACCCTTATAAACCCTGAGCCCTAAACCCTGAACCTCTGTCCTCATCGGAGTCGGTGGCTGCTTCCTCTTCGGCCTCCGGCTCGCTTCCGTCCTTCCCAGAGAGCCCAGTACCCCTTAAATAAGGAATTATACCTTAAATTGTAGGGGGCCTTAAAGGGTCCCCATAAGGGTTCTATAAGGGAATTAAGGAATATATACCTTAAATTATAGGGGCCTTAATATTATAATTTAAGGCTTTTTCCTTAATTAAGGGGTATTCGGCTTCCGTCCTTGCAGGGGCCTCTGCTATGCAGAAACGTCCAGAAAACCCGGGGGGCTGTGAACGCCGGTGACGAGGACTTGGGATTTTTGAGTTTAGGGTTTTAGGGTTTACGGTTTAGGGTTTAAGAGGAGCTTGCTCCCTTGATGTGGAAGCCACGTAAACATGGACTGAAGACAACATCATATTCAGAGCCTACGCCGAGGACGATGTCTTCTGTCGTCGCTTTGTATGTGTACAGCTTCATTGCTTCTCTATAAGCATGTACACATGCAGCACCATATCAAGCAATGGCTTTGAAGCAAACATACACATGTTCACAAACGTGCACATGCCTGCATAAACTAACGCAGCATGGGAAGCAGGACAAGCCACACATGGATACACGCACAGAGCTAACATGCCGACATGCAAAAGACCCAGCTAGATCAATTGCCGCTAGCCAAAAACTGTATGCACACATTTGTTTAAAATTTATGTACATACACATTATATTTGTATGTATAAATATAAATATAAATATATAAATATAAAAACTTATATATATATATATATGAATGTGCATCTACATACAATACGGCAGACTCAGTGTTGTAGATATGACCTATACTGAACTTGGCACTTTTGCAAAAATAATACAGTGTTAGCTGCTGCTTAGGGATTATAGAAACCAACAAATGAAAAATCAAGCACCCTCCAAGTGAAAGGGATGCGCATTGCTAATATGAGGGCTGAGGCGACAGGTTGTGGCAACACAAAAACATGTGGGTAGTTCTCTAAATTAGGGTCCCTTTTAGGGTCATTTGTATAAGGGTGCCGTACTACATTGGAGACCTAGGAAGGGACCCTAATTTAGGGAACTACCCATGTGTACAAGCGTGCCGTCATAGTGTACCGAAGGCGAGGTATTCCCAGCTTCTACGCAAAAACAGCGAAAGCGAACCAAGATGACATCTACTGCACCATGGCAACTCTGCACTGTAAGCGACAGAGAATAAAAGGCGCAATGCAAGCCCGAAAGAACGAGATCGTCTTCCGGGTTTGGAACCCCTCGTCTAGAACACTCCCAATCAAACAAACCCATCATTATGTTTAGTGAAGAGGAAAGAACCCGTTGTGTCCTTCGCTTCCACGTTTTCCTCGACCTCGGGCTTTGCACTGGACTGCGGCAACGTCGTGAATGCTTGTATCGCCTCGGAAAAGAACTGGACGAGGTGTCTTTCTGGAGACGTGATCTTTGCATTCATCGACTCCCAAATCCTCTGGCGGGTCTCGCTGTCAAGTTTCGTGATCTCCTTGACAGTTTGGATCCCGGAGGAGTCTACGAGCTCAGGCTCTTTCTTGATGGCGCCGTGCACGTTGAAGACTGCTACGCAAACCTCCATCGGGGTGGCTTCGCACACGAAATCTGCCACTGCCCGGTCCCTGGAAAAGCGCGTGCGCCGTACGTCCGTCTTCTCAGACACTGCGAAAAGTTGGTTGACAGCAAAGAGCGGCGAGAGCAAGCCCAACTTCAGCCGGCGAACCAGGTACTCCGGTGGGGAGTCACTCAATGGCACGAAAATCGCACACTTCACTGTCATGGCCTCCCTTTCCACTGGATCAGAAGTGTTCACGAAGACTTCGGAGAGAAGGTCGCCGATGTCGACTTCTGCCCTAGCCTTCCAAGGCAGGGAGGAATCCTCCAGGAAGGCCATCAAGTCCGCCGGGTAGCCCGAACCCATAAGCCCTTCGCCATCTTGGGAATGGTGAACTTTCAAGCGCGCCACAGGCAGGAAGGAGAGGAGCTGCCGTACCCGGCGAGTTGGAAGGCCGCAGCTCCCACAGCCTTGCAGAAGCCCCTGGCTTTCAAGCAGGCTCTGGATCTTTTCAAGGAGCTGCGGCTTGCTGGTCACCTCGCTTGCTGCTCCGAGTTCTTGCTGCGCCTGCTGCAGAAGGTCATCTGCAGACTGCGGGTAGCTCCGGTCCACCTCCGCGAGGGCATTGGCCAAGGCAGAGGCCAGAAGATCTAAGGCAGGCATCACGCGATCGTTCCCCAACTGGCTCCATCTACCCTTAATCAGGGTGTGCCGGAATGCTTTCGATGCCATGGCCGCAACATGCTTGAAATGCTTGTCACGGTCGGCACCCAGCTCAGGCGATTGGGTGTGGGCAAGAGCTCTTTCGCGTGCAACTTTCCAGTTCCTCTGCCAGACCACCGTGCAATCTTCGTCGAAGAAGAACAGGGCCACTGCGTTAGCAAAGTGGTTGAGGGAAGAACTCCGCAACTTTGGCATCTCGACCGCGCGGTGCTGCTGCGCAAGCGACCATCGGCACATGTGGGTCATCATGGCAGCCATTTGCTCTTGGTTCTCCCGCATAGATGCCAGGATGTACTCCATGCGCTCTAGTCTCTCAAGAATCTGCAGCATGTGCCAGCATCCGGCACCATTCATCATCCTTTGCGGCAGGTTCTGTCCACCCTCCTCAAGGCTTGCTTGCGAGCCACTCTGGTTGAGAACCGAAGAATGCAACTCGCATGCCGAACTCAGCCCAAACACTCAGTGTGCCAAACACAGCAGAGAACTAAGGGTTTAGGGTTTAGGGTTTGGGGCTTAGGGCCAAACAAAGCAGAGAACTACGTTTTACGCTTGCGGCACCCCAACTGCTAGATGGCAAGATCCTTACTATGAATGCCCCTACAAGGGGATCCATGACTTTCGGACACCCACGGTGAACATCAGGGAAGGTATGATTTTGCATGGACCGTACAAAGCCCCATGTTCAGCTGCATTATGCGTGATAACGCCCACTCTGCTGAAAGCACTGATACTAACAACTGCGATAACATCTAAAAAAAAATAGCTAAAATCCCTCTCAAGGCCTTTAAAGCTCCGAAAACCCTAGCCTGTGGACTTCTAACTCAAAAAACCAGACCAAAATTCCTACAGAGCCCCAAACACAAAAAACCCTAAGCCCGAACAAACGCCTACGTGTGCCAGCACGAGCCTCCCTGCACCGCTCGGGAAGTACGGTTTAGCATCGAGGGAAGTGCTGGTTGGGGTTCAAGAGCTTTACGGTTTAGGGTTTGAAGGTTTAGGGCTTTACAGTTCAAGATTTAGAGGTTTAAGAACTCGGGGTTGAAGGTTAGGGTTTAGGGTGTTTTACAGCTTGAGATTTAGAGGTTCAAGGTTTAGGGGGTTTAAGGTTTAGGGTTTTACGGTTTAGGATGTGGGGGCTTACATAATCCTCAGGGTGTATAGGGTCCTTTAAGGGTAAATTTCGAGAAGACTCGAGTCTCTGGGTTTGAAAAGACGGCAGCTGAAAGGATCTACAAGTACCATATAGGCAACTGGATGCATGGGGGAGCTGTAGGGTTTCCAAGGGTTCAAGATTTAGAGTTTAAGGAACCCTGAACTTTGAAACTGTAGGGTTTAGGGTTCAGGGTTTAGCAACTTTAGGGTTTAGGGTTCAGGGTTTAGGGCTCCCTAAACCGTAAACTCTGAACCCGACGGAGTGGCACCTGCTGCCGGAGTGTGGAGGGCTCCGCAGTAGGAGTGGAGTCTTGCTGCATGGCCCTCTCGCCCTAGGGTTTAGGGTTTAGGGGTCATCCCGCACATCATGGATGGTTTAGGGCCGGCTATGTCTTCAAAAGCACTTGCGGTCTTTGCGACTTCCTGCAACGGTTCTGCAGATTTTGAGCCACGAGAGAAGCAGAGCCGCTTGTGTGCAGAACTTAGTTTCCGGTGTTGCTGCCGCGGATGGTCAGAAACATACTGTCATTACTGTGGTGGGGCACAGAGAGGCCAACACACCTTCACTACAGTATAGAACCCGTCATCGTAATTTAGTTGATTAAGCAATAATACCTTAAAGTTTTTAAGGGGTCGCATATTCCTCCGTTTAGATAATATATCCAATTTATCCTTAGTTAGGAGGTGTTTGGAGACTGCTCACTCAGGAAGAAACTGTCAACTCCGGTAAGTCCTCTCTGCTAGTGGCGGCGTGCACCATGCACACACCATCCCACAGATATCTTCGGCCATTCTTTTCCCGCTCATCTTTTGAAAATGACGTCCTCCGGCTTTGGCATGTTGAGCAAGCCCACCTTGGTTGGTGTGGAGGGCTCTTTTGCTTTCCCAGAGAAGGTGGGGGAAGAGGGGGGTGTGAAGAACTCTTTTCTTACCCAGAGACAGTGGGGGAAGAGAGGGGAAGGGGGCAATTTAGGGTCGGTTACGCATGTTAAACCTTACCAGAGATGCGGAACATCCGGAGCCCTTAGACCCTGGAGACCCAGACTTAATTAGAGCTTACCCAGAGGAGGTTTAGGTGTATCCATTACTAGATGGTACTCTGAGAGCTTCAATGAACGATCTTCGCTTGCGTTCTGAAACGGCTCTCTCGGCTTTGCGCGAGTACGTTCCTCAGGAATATTCTCCAAGAGTTCGACTGCAGCGCGGCCTCTCGATGTAGTTAGTGGTAGCCGCCGCATCGTAGCTGAGAGCCAGCTCTCGGTTTGCTAAATTCTTGGTAGGGTTTAGGTTTAGGGTTTTGGGCTAGGGTTTGGGGTTTAGGCACTGGCTATGAGCGGCTCCGGATGTCCAGCGCAGAGGAAAGCGCACGCACATCGAGACTGTGAAATCGGGCTCCGAAAAGAGCGCGGCTGCCCGGGCCTTCGTCTCTTCCGTCTTGAGAAGAGGCAGAGCCGGCACTGGCAGACGGAGGTCAGGGCGGCTACGCCGGGTCGGCACTCCATCTGGGTAGTTCTCTAAATCAGGGGACCCTTTTAGGTCCCCCACAGAGTACGGCACCCTTATGAAAAGGACCCGAAAAGGGACCCTAATTTAGAGAACTACCCATCTCGTGTTTTCCAAGGTTCCTGTCGCACCTGCCCGGCCGCCTCTAGCGGATCACGGCAGGGCCAGCACCATTCCAAAGCCTTGCAAGTCGACTCCTCTTAGAGGCTCATGGGTAGTTATAAGTAGGGCTATAAGTCCCCCATAAAGGGTTTATAGCTACAGTTGCCCTACTTATAACCCTACTTATAACTACCCATGAACCCTGAACTAAACCCTAAAAGCCCTTTTGAACCCTTTAAAGGAACCCCATAACGCTACTTATAACTACCCATGAACCTCCAAGAGGATCATCACAAGGTCAGGTGCACCACCGGGAGTCGCTGGACATCTAGGTCGTCCATGTGGGGTTTAGGGGTTGAAGTCCTCCTGTTGGGTCTGTACTTCCCGATCCAGGGACTGTCCGAAGGGTCCATACGGGCCATCATCCGAAGGACACAGTGGCGCACATCCGAATCACAAAGCATATGGGTAGTTCTCTAAGTTAGGGTCCCTTTTTCAAGTCCCCAAAATAGTACGACAACCTAATTTAGAGAACTACCCATATGCTGGAAAAGACCCATGCTCTGAACCTGCATCGGGGTACTCGGATCTGATGGCCGTCACAACAACCTTCAACCCACCACGAAACCCTATACTAATCCTAGACATCCTAACCCCTGGACGGCAAACCCGAGAACTTACCCTCAAGGCCCCAAAGCTCTGCAGAAATGAACTTGCAAAGTTCATCAAGCCCTATGCCACCCTAAAGACGCTCAAACAACGTCACCACCAAATGCAGCTCGAAGAACGGTCTGCGCACGCCTTGTCATGGAACATGGACAGTTTGGGGGTGCCTTTTGTGGCTTCGGCTTTTGAGTTTCTAGCTTGCCTGTCTGGTTAAGGTGCAGGGTTTCAATGTGCGTGTCTGTTGTCTAAGGGTTTTTTGGGGGAGGTTGACAGTTTATGCAGGGTTTGGTGCGAAAGTGCTAGCACTGTTTGGCTTTTGGACTTCGGGTATATAGGGTTTGGAGTTGTTTTTGATGCGGCTTCGTAAGGCTCTAGGTTTAGATGCGGGATTTCCGTGTGGAGGGTGTGGGGCTGTGTATTCTTTCTTGCGTAGGTGGGTTTGCATTGGCAAACCAGTCAGAGCAGTTTTGACAGCAAAAAGTTGAAAGTACTTGTCAGTCTTTTACGAAGCCCGAACCCCACCCCCGAGGACGACCCAAGTACTGAACGACATTCGAGCCACCGTTGCGAAGGGGGCCCACAGAACAGGGCCAGGGGCGGAACTCGGCAAACCTGGCTAGGACCCTAAACCCTAAAACCCTAAAACTCGGGAGCAGCCTCGGAAGCACTCATCGCCCCAGCCCGAATGAATCACACTGATAATATCGCCAATGCCCAACCGTAGTAGGGATCTAGAGTAAATAATAGGGCTTCCTTTTTGTATGGCAACTTAAATAGTAATTCAAGGACCTAGTAGGGAATGTTGTTCTTCCCTCTGAAGTGGCGCCGCTGCTGCCAGACTCAGTGCTGATGGCTGTACGTGCGTTACGTGCCTTGGTATACCTGCCAGATATTTGCCCGGAGCTTGTGCATTTCCGCCTGCACATCCCTTGCAGCGTTGATGCCGCCCTTGCATCGGTTCAAACAGCACGCCACAGCCTCAGGGCAGCCCTTTTCCCTCGACTGCACCCCGTGGCGTCGCCGCCATGCGATGCACATGTCACCCTGGTAGCTACTCCAGATTGATGGACTGCAGGAGGCTTGACGGCTCCATCTTTGCACGTCACACGTTCCTGCCTTAACCAGGAGTCCCTACTCCTGGCGGCCGGACTTGCAGAGGGCCAGACATGTGAGCTTATGTGAAGTCTTCGTTCACGGGCTTGCCCAGCCCTTACAAGTTGGTCAGCATATGGCCACATACACCAGCATGACATCGTGTTAGTCAGAGGAGCAGCCGTTGATAATCAAGCTAGAGGGGTCGTCTTTCTCCTGCACAAGGGCCAAGTCCTCATAGTAGGATCGGTCTGCCGTGCTTGACAATTGAGACGGTCGGGCGTGTAGATAGGGAGTTGATCGGTATGCTTCAACAGCACAGCTCAATTGCGTTCAAACCTGGCCGCTTGCCTTCTCTCTTTCTGTTTGCACTCTCTCTCCTTTGCGCCTACTGCGGTGCCAGCTGCCCTGCAACATACAGCGGCAGAGTCCCTGCAGGGGCCCCCACAGGCTCAGGGGACCCCACCCGTTTCGGGCCCAGTAGTCGAGTCAGTCAAAGCAGACAGCGAGCTGGAAACGGTGTTTACCCTCCTAGCACCAGACTACCAGGCCGAAAAGGATCCCTGCATGGATGCGTGATTGTATGCCTCGACCCCCCCCCCCCCCCAGGTTGACTGCGCCCTAACCACCAGCGAAAACCCCTGACAAAACACCATGCTTACGAAGACGCCTCGGCAAAAAACATGACCCAACACCTTTTCTTGTAGTGGGAACCCCTACTTTCCAGACACCAG